GAAATGCCACTGCGAGCTGCCGATGCCACTATTTGAGCTAGCCCCTGCTGTCAAGATGACTGTCCACCGGTGCAGTCCACCGACACCTTGGCATTCCAGTCTAAAGAAAATGCACAAAAAAGTATACCTTTATAGTGGTGATGGATAAGTCTTTGGAATCTAAAAAGGAAAAAAAAACAAGCACCATAGTAAATTCTGGATTCTTGTAATGAAGCAAGTCAACATAATCAAGCATGAGTATCAGCACAAACTTAGACTTAGACTTAGTCTGAGGCCAGTTCTTTGACTGATTAGTGGTTTGGTTTAATGTCTGCAAGCTTATGTGTGGAGCAGCCTCTGAAAGCATAATGAAGCATATTGTTGCTTTAAGTCCCCTTCACATGTTTTTCTCTCAGCCGCAGCAGTAAATAAGCCAAACAGCCACTGGAGGACAATGACACTGTTGTTGTCGGTTGTTTTTTAAGAGACCTGGAATAAAGGGCTCCATACTGAGGGGACAGTTGCAAGGTACAATGAGGGGGGTAACTGGGCCCCTGTGACGGAATTAAAGTGGGGGCCGGTCCTTAAGGATGTGTTTCGCCATTGTTCTTCAACCCCCCCCTGCTCACCATGTCATCAGAGCTGGGAATGAACCCCCCACCCCATCTCCCACATTACCCATGACATTCAGAGTTGTTTTCTTTTTGCCATAACTGTGACCAATGGCATTCCCAGCATGTCCATCAGGCCCTAACATGCCCTGCCAGGGTCAGTCAGACAGGGGAGGGGGGATAAGCGGAGGTGCCAGGGGTGCAAATTCTTTATAATTACATGTGATTACAAAAGCAGGCCCAGTGGGGTCATATAAAGACCATGACACCCCATCAGCCTCCTCTAGAGAGGATACAAGGACCTGTGAATCTGCGGAGATGCCTGTCAGTTCACCGCCTGCCTGCAGAGTCTTCCCCCTGCACAGTTAATTGATTTATCACAGTGCTTTCTGGACCACAGCAAGGCGGTAGCCCCTCCACTGGTGAGAAATGGAATACTGCCACAGTGGTGATGCCCCCTCTGTGCTTTGATAGAACTCCAGCAGTCCAGCAGGGCCAGCGGGGAAAGAGTCAGATGTAAGGAATGATTTGGGAGTGTGACCCCCCGTCTCATAGGTCAGCCAGAGCCTGCTGGCACAGAGCAGGGCTTTAACTGTGCAGACAGTTGGAGAGGCGGGGCTGCTCTGGTGGAGGTTCTCATTGGCTGAATGAAACCTTAATGGACAGAGCTGCAGTGTAAAGCACCAGAGCTTATCATAATGTCAGATGAGAAACTGGCAAAAATGTTTCAGAGAAACTGAAGTTGGTATAAATATTATTTATGTTGTTAAATGGTAAAAAATAGTGATGAACAATAATTAGTGGAGTGGATAAATTATGGTGTAATAATGGTAAATGTATATTATATATTATTTTAATATTCATATTATAGCTGATAAAGTTTTGGATAATAGTAATAATAATAGTAATAATAATAATGTATTAGGGAAATACGAGAGAATATTGCCTCTCCTTCCTGAATAGCACCGAGGGACTCCTCAGTATGAGCTCAAGGCGGCAGATAAACAAATCCTAGGGGTAATTTGGATGAGGGAAGAAAGGAAGCACATAGCAAGACTGTTTTTTATGAGTTTTCAGACTTGTTTTTTTCTGATATGCCCTTATGACCACAGCGAAGCACACAGTTAAAATATGACATGAAAAACACTGAATATTGCAGTAAAATGTCTCCACTAAGAAAGGAGAGATGAGGGAGGAAAGTAAAACATAATTTACATCTGGTTTGGTTTTCATCTCAACACTTTCCAGTACAGCAGCTAGTAAGTGAAGACTTTTTTCTGCAACAAAATTATAACTCTAAATGTGATGTATTTAACCAAATGAACCACGTTCCATCATATGCTGCACTGCCAGGTTATGTGTATTATTCTTACCTGCAGTCATCATCCATGCAGACAAGGCTGCCACACAGAAGACCAAAGCCATGTAGCCTTTCATGTTTCCACAACCCTGAATATGACAATGATTAATACATTTATTCTCAACACATTTTTCTGTCTCAATTTCAGATGTCATCTAACCAGATCATCATCATCTAAAATTTACAACAATTTCCAGGACCTGTTGATTGTTTTGTTTTGATGAAAAATACCTGCTATGAAACAAAGGTTAACTTACCTCAGTTACGTCTAGTTCAGTATAAATCAGATGACTCCAGGAAAATGTATGAAACAAGGCAGTGGGAACAGTTGTGAGAAAAACAATGTAGTTGGCGGTTTATATGGGGGAGTACAGGGAGGGACCTCAGAGGGAAAATGAACTCGGGGGGAGGGGGGTATCCTGGGGAATCAGAGGAAGAGATTTTGTTTTGGAGAACATTTTCTCTCCCTTCTGACTAACCCTGAGGGACTCCTCAACATAAGCTCAATTCACACCATATGTAGAATCTGTTAAGACTCCTCCACCCACACAAACTCATAAATTAAACAATCAACAGTAGTTCATATTTTAGAAGTATTGTCCAGATAAACTAATCCTGTTTCTTAGGAAAAAGTCTTTTTGGTATAAGCCGACAACCCAAATTCATTTATTTCGACAAAACCTTGGAAAATGGGCAGTGATTTCATGTTGAAAGGAGGGACAGAATTCACTGTTTGAGACAAAAACACTCTCTCAGGCCTGAAGTGCGAGATGAGGCTTGGACGTTGCAGTTGAGAGGCCAAGCATTTCAAACTGTCCAGATAAATACGGCTTTAAGAGGATCTCTATGGTTTTCTTGGAATCCTAATGAAGCTGTCTTTTGTGTTTGTGTGCTGGCTGGAGCAGAGTCTGTGGTGCTAAAATGAGCATGTCGTGCTTCACAAAGTCTCACAGAGCTGGGGAAGAGGCCTGGCAGTGTGTGACAGCTCACAAGAGGTGGCTGTCAGCTTTGGAAACCACAAACTTGACAATGGACAAATGTTTGACTGACAAATCAGTGTCCTGAGAAAGCATGGAGAGGCTGCACTTATTGTTAGAATTGAAGATGGTTTGGGTGGGGGGCATAGTGGCCTCTACTGGTGAATTTGCAGATTGCAACTAACTGAGCACCCCTCGCATCTGACCTGGAAATGAGAATGAGCTGTAAAGAGATCAACACTGTGGTACCAGGCCAGAAGGTAATAGGTCAGAGGCAAGTTACAGGAGATTTGTAGCCAAGAAACACACCGTATTTTGTATTCTTTTTAAAGACAAAAAAACACTCTCTGAAGATGCTCCACTTCTCAAATGCTCTTGGTAGGATTTGAAGACACGTGGATCACAGAGCCAAACCACCTAACAGTCCCGACGTCATAAAGCCAGTGGAATTTCAGGGTAAATGTTACACACTGAACCTTTTTTAAGTTTTGGGTAAATATGACCTAGCCATTGGTACAACAAATTGTTTACTGCGGAATTGATCAATATTCCAGGGGTTGTCAAAGGACACTGATACCAACTCGTTTTCATTAGCTTCCTCAAAGTTATGCATGAATTCATTACTACTGTTATTATTATATTTGGTTTCAATGAATGGTTTGTAACCCAAAGTGTACATGCTGTTTCAAAGGGACTTCAAGGTCTCGGTTCCAAAGCAAACATTGAGATTTTACTAAACCCTCATTAGCATGACCGGATTTTATTCCATACACCACGTTCTAACATCTAAGACAGTCTAGGTAAATAGTTTTATAGCCTAAAAATCAGAATCTTGGGTGGCAAACGACACTGAAAAGATGTTTTTCTCTTTGAATGACTGAGCTTGTCGTCTCTTGTGCAGCCTTAGGTTTTCATTCTGGAACATTCTTCCTTCCGGCAGGGGGTCTGGAGTGGAGGGAGGGGAGGGTTGCCAGAGAGGCTGAGAGAGGTGATGGCTGGTAAACACAGACCCAAGCAGAGTCCATAATTAGAGCAGAAAGCGTACCCTGCCAAAACAAGGGCCAAAGGCTTTTACATGTCAGCTTGGATAAGGCTCAGTTTAACTGCTTTGTTAACGACTCGTCTTTATCTCTGAGCTGAGACAGCTGCTGATAGATTAGGTGTAAATTAAATAAATGAGCTATGAAACTTTCAATAATATTCATTTGAGATTTATTCAGGTCATAATTACACAGTTTGAATTAAATATTGTCCCTAAAATTTTGCACAAAGAACTGGGATGGCAGTGCAAACAATACAGCAGGCCGACAAATAAACGTGCTTTGATACAGATAATTTTCATCTTGTATTAGTACCACAGACCAATGAGAACACAGGGTTTCAGGGATGATGCTCTTGTGACCACCATCAGATGATCCAAAAAAGAAGTTTGGAATATTAACAAGTCTTTATATAAAAAGTCTTGGTAAAATAAAACACAGCATTAGGATAAACATTACAGTGTGTAAAAGACATGCAGTCAACTAAAAAGGGCTAAACTGATATGGAGTAGTCCAGCATTGCTTTAATGTACAGGATTCTCAGTGCTGTGACATGCTACAGATCAGGAAGGTTAGCAAAATATTGGCAGTTTGGTCAAATCAAAATGTAACCACGACACAAGAAATATTAAAATAAAAAGACCTTGTGTCCTGCATTGTAGGAATAATTCCTTAACATTTTTTCAGCAAAGACATGTGACAAGCCCCAGTTTTTTAGCATTAAACTGTACATTTATATTCAATATGATACCATGCCATCATTTTCAAAATATTGCTAGTGCTTGGATGGGCTGATAATAACGCCTTGACATAAAGTATCTCATTTTCAACTCAGTTAAAGTATACCATTACATTTCAAGTAAATAAAAAGAATGGATCATTTAAAATCCTGTCCTCTAGTTGTGATCTATTGCTACTGTATGCTCATGTAAAGTTCCAAAAAATACTCAGACATGAGAGTAGTCACAGTCAACATAAACAGCTATATAAAAACTCCAGGTATTTCTCACTAAATACATTCTGGCAATTATCTAACATTTGGTGCAAACATAACAGAGCTGTAGTAGTTGCTTTTACAAGAACTGCTCTCCAGTAGTTTCAAGACAGTGTTTTACGAATGCACAAGTTAAAAAATGGATCTTGCACAACCTCAAGATATAGAATTGATTGTTCATGGATTAATAATTCAGTGGAACACTTGAAATAATCTGCATTGTGAACCAGTGTTCTGTGAGATATTATGCAAGATATGCAACTTTTTCTAAAAAAGATTATTACAGGAGAAAAACTGAACTGTATTCCAAAGTTTCTAGCTGTGTGTCTCACGCTCAGTTCCAAGTCAGCCAGTTCTTAAAGTTTGAGCATGAAAAAGACTTCACTGTTTTCAGGGTCTGGGGAGGACTGGGACTGTCTAGGGGAGGGGGTTCCTAGGGGGGCAATCTGACTCAACAGGTCCAGGCTGGTGCAGGGACTCCGGGCCACACAACACGCCCCTTCGGGGTTGCCCCGCTCCTCAATGGGGCTAGCACTACTTCCGCTGCCAATGCTACCAGTAAGGCTAAAGCTTGCACTTCTGCCCTGGACCAAGCCCTGGAGCCTCTGCCTTTCCTGGGCCTTCTTGGCCCTGTTTGCTATGTACCGCACCCTGCTTTGGCTTCTCGAGGAGGTCCTTCGCACAAGACACTCATCCACAGACTCCTCCGGTGACTCTCTAGGTTTGTTTTCTGGGGCAAAGTCCTTAGCAGTCAGGGGCTCCACGTTAGTCAGCTTACGGAGTTGCTCTGTAAGGTCGCTGGGTGGCCGAGATTTGTTCGGGCCGCCCTTGCGTAGCTGGTCCCTGGTTGGCCTAACAATGAAGCTGCGGCTGATGCTGCGGTACTTGCTGTCAAAACTACAGGAAATGTCATCAGAGGTCAGATCCCCAAGGCTTTTGGACATGGAAGCTGTAGCAGCTTGAGATGTAGCTGCAGAAGACGGCCTGCTGGCTGATGACTGCTTGAGCCCTTCCATGTAGAGCCGGCTCCAAGTGTGCCTCCTTTGAGTCAGTCTGCTGGGTGAGTCCACAGAAGCTTCCTGGGGGGGCTGCAATGGGCGGGGCTTAAGCTCATCTTTGGAGCACTCACTTTGCTGAAGATTGGGGTTTGACTTGCTTTTGCTGACTCGCAGAGCATCGTAGGAGACTAATGCTGAGCGACGGCAGTTGACCCAGGGAGGATCGCAGGTGCTGCTGCCTGTGGGCAGGCTGGTAAGGCTCTTCCTGGCCAGGTTAGGCAGGGACAGGTCAATGACGGTGTCACTAGAAGAGATGCTAGAGGAGGAGGACATGCTGTCTCGGTGGCTGCCTGGCTCTAACTTGCTCCAAAGACGGTCGTTCATTGTAGCATCCGTGCAAACCTCTGGTATAGCTGACTGGGCCTGTCCAGTTGAGGCTACAGCCACCTGAACATAGCCCTCACTTTTTGTTCTTCTAACTGGTGTGTGGGATGTCAAATTGCTAAAAAGTGCTCTCCTGGCATGGGCTGTCTGAGCTGCAGGGACTGCAGGGGTTCCAGTGGGAATTGTGGCAGCAGGAGGCTCCGTGCTGTGGTCAGACTTGAACTTGGCTGTGTCTTTTTCCTTTTCTGTCATTATTTCTTGGTTTTCCCTCTGGTTTGGTATGTGCTTTATAAATGAATGAGTGCTTCTGTTGGTCTGGGTGTCTTGACTGCACTTTGATGGTACAGATTTCTCAGCATGATTCGTCAGAGGGAGTGACGTGGTTCTGGAAAGGGTAGGAGTTTTCTTAGGGTCCCCACTCACCTTGATGGGACAGTCTACCACTCCATTTGAAGAAACTGTCAATGGGGAGTCTGCATTTATTGCTGTGGATGGCGAATGCACTGATGTAGATGAGGAGCCATGTGAAGACAGGCTGTCTTCTGGAGTGGAGATGGAGCGGATGTAACACGTGTTCTTGTTGTGTTCAGAGTTTAGTGCAAGAAATGGAGGAGGGGGAGCTGGTTGAACTGTGGAATAGTCTGTGGAAAGAAAGACAAAACAAAACATTTATCACTAATTGTTCAGTATTCACTCAGATACTGACCTTACTAATCAAGTATCTGCTATAATATAATATAATGACTGTGAAGGCAATGGAGGTATTGCTATTATGAAACCTGAAGTGTTTTTCAGGATGTGGGTTTGAATCATCGCACATCCAAAACAAAGCTAAACAAAGCCTTATAAAAAGGAGAATGGTTCAAAAAAAGAGGGCTACATTTAATGGGTTGGTATTGGTTCATGAGGAAAAAGAAATACAAGTGAAATGGTCTGGTGAAGGGATGTGAATAGTGGATGTTGGTGTACAAACATCTCCGGCTTAGTTAAGAATAGATATTAAGGTACAGACTTACATTAGCTTTGATAAATTGGTTCTATAAAGAGTGATACCATTTCCAGTGCTAAAACTTGACAAGAAAACCTTAACTTGGCCATTAACTGAGCTTTCATGGCTTTGATCAATGAATGGAGTTTGCTCAGTTGTCTCTTTGACTCCATTTGCTGGTGAAGGCTGAAAAGCTGGTACGTTGACCTGACTTCAAATAATTTTATCACACCATTGATCCTAATCTAAAGAAATAGTTCTTGCTCATACATTAAATCACAATTAAGACAACTTAAAAGGTCCAGTGTGTAGGATTTAGTGGCAGTGTAGTTGCAGAACCTCCGTGCTTTACCTCTTCCTCCTAGATACATAAAAGGTTCATTCTAAGGTAATGTAAGGTAGTGATTATACACCAATGAAAACATATCCATGAATATTATATTCTAATTCTGACAATACAGCCTCCTAAATGTTACACACTGGACCTTTAAATCTCATTTTGCAGCTTTGTGTGACTGCATTGTCTGGTTGTAATGTATGTAATTTGGTCCCTCTTGTAAAGGGGTTCTTGGTCTTAGTGAGACTTCCGGAATAAATAAAAAAACTTTATGAACAAGCTTTATGAAGTTTGACCATTATTTGTTGTCAAAAAAAACATTATACTCATTAAGTTAATGAGTAACTCAATTGCTGGGATCTGTAAACACAGCAACATTGCTAACAATGAGTAAAATGGCCACACAGTCAGACAAATGTACAGGTTTTTAAACCATCCCCCAGGTTACCTAGGTTATATTTGACAGCTAAAACCCGAATAAGTGCACATTTCGGGAGTTGCCATTGGCCTCAGTTTCCTTGAAAAAAAACAAACAAAAAAAAACAGTTGAAAACCTTTTTGTTTCAAATAGGCTTATTTTTAATTATGTCACTATGTTCCCAGATCTCAGCAACTAACATGGAGAGTAGAGCGCCCGGTTAGCTCACTTGGTAG